TAAAAATACATAGATCAGCAGAAATGGGTTAATAATTAAAGGCAGAGCTAGCCAATAAGAAACAAGTAACCGGGCCAACAGTATTGTACCAAATACAGAGTCTCTGTGTATTATTTGGAGCTGGTGCGGCGGCAGGACAATACCGGCGGCGGGCAGAAAAACCATACTCGTTACAGGGTAGTCCAGGCTGGACTCACTCATAGGGTTACTCTTGCCTCAGGCTCTTCAGTGCTGAGATTATTCTGTGAACCATGATTAGCTTCAAGTGTTTCTTTTGTTCGTAAGTGTTAGGATTTCTCCTATACACCAAAGGAAATTTCCCTTATTCAAATGTCTTTGGCTAGTCACATGGAGAAAGTATCTTAAAACTTTTTGAAAGAAATTAGTGTTTAAAGAGGAACCCAGAGCAAGTATGCTGATTGGAGGAAATACTTTTTCTTTAGCACATTTTACTTGATGTGCAAATCCATAATTTTAGGTAATATCTATGCCACCTGTATGTTTTACTTTTCATTTTTCAAAAGTTTATGTTACATTTTATTTGCCGTGTGTGCATGCATGCACATGAGTGCATATGTGAGGGACTACATGCCTTGGAGCACATGTGGAGGCCAACGGATACCCGGATGGAATTGGTGTTCTCTTTCTACCATGTGAGTCCTGGGTCTTGAACACAGGGCATCGGATTTAGTGTCAGGCATCTTTCCCTCTTGAATAACCTCACTAGCCCCTACCCTTAAGTTTTAAAGAACTTTGTGCCACTAGTCAAAGTGATAATTCATGATGGGTAACACTTGCTAGTACTGAAGATGAGAAACCAACGCCACATTTTCCCAGCAGCGTTTTCCCAGTGAGTTTGAATTCAAGGCTTTTCATGTGGGTTTATCTACTCATCTCTAGCTAAGTAACTTTTACATCATGGTCCTCAGTTCAGGGAGATGGCTTCATATCATCTGCTGTAAGAGAACATGGTGCTCTTGCATCTCAGAAGAGGAAGTAAATTTTCAGGTTCGGTTACATTTTATTAAATGCTAAAACTGCCCTGGGAATATGATACACCATAAAAATAAATACAAGTATTAAAGAGAATTTGATTGCTACAGTCTACAGGACTTACTCTTTTATGTTTCCCTTAAGGCAGTGTTTTGTATCCATTGAACATATAGAAGGCAGATTTGCTGGGGTTCCTGTAAAAGCACTACAAGTTAAGTGGCTAGCACATGAGAAGTTTCTAGTCTCACATTTGGGAGGGGATAAATCTGACTTCCAGGTGTCCACAGGGATTTGGGGAAGAATTGCCTAACTTCAGGTGGTTTGCTGGTAATTTTTAACATTTCCTTGGCTTGTAGAAGCATTTCTCTCATCTCTGTCTTAATGTTTCTTGGTCTCCTGTGTGTCTTCCTCCAAATTTCTGGGCCTTTTAAATAACGATACCTGTCAGGACCCATTTATGATGTCCTAACCAAGCATATCTGCAGGGAGCCTGTCGCTAAACAAAATCACATTAATTGTACAGCTAGATAGACAGATAGATATATGCATGCATGCATACATAAATACATACATGCATACTTACATATATGCATACTTACATACATAATGTGTGAGCAGTGGTGTCCCTCATTGCCGTAGTAGCAATCACAGTGTCTTGATTCACTTAATGAGGTGTGTAGCTGAGTCCAAGATGGCTGCCCAGAGGAAACTTCCTTGTATTAAAGAGGAAATAATTACAACAGAAAAGGGACCTAAGAATAACCCAGAAGGGCTAGGAAAGGAAAGGGAAGAAAGGATAAGTTGAAGTGTTGGCTTGCCACTTTGTATGGCTCTGGGAACTAAAGGTAAAGAGAATACAGCCTAGGCCTATGTTGGGAGCTCTTCCTGGGATCTAGAGCCTTGAACCTCAGAGGAAGAGTTGGACAGTAAAGAGGTAAAAGTTGAGGTGAAAGTGAGAGATGGTGGATGAGACCCAGTTCTCCAGGCAAGACAGGACCATTTTCACCGAGAAAGGCTGGTTCAGTAGTGAGTTTGGGACTGGACAGAGCATTAGTGGCTCTGATGAGCCATACTCTGCCTGCTGCTGTGGAAGGAGCTCTTGTGGGATGGAAACCAGGACAGTCACTTCTCTGATAAGGTGGCCAAAGTACTGGTGGGTGAGGCCTGCTGTAAGCTCAGTGTTGAAGTGTAGATGCATCCGTTTGCTGTTTGTGTGGTTGTTATTTCTGACATAAGCTTTTAACTGCTGAGCCATCTCTCCAACTCCCATGCTTCATGCAATAGGAAGTTTAAGGTGAACTTGACACTGTCTTGAATGAAGTGAAAGTGTAGCGTATTTGGGGACATATGTCTTCTGATCCCTTGCTCTTGTGTCACATGTACTGAAATGGAAATGGTGCCGAGGCTAGCCCTGGCCTGAACAAATGACTTACATCCATGAAGCTTCATTTACATCTAAGTGAAGGCTATGGCGTATTGTTTCGCGGGTGTGGGGTGCAGCTCAGTGAAGAGCATAGATTTAGTGTGTCTGAAGCATGGGTTCACCACAAGCACTCAAAAGGTTTTGGTCTTTTTATTTATAACCATCAACATCTTTCCATTTATTTAGGTCATCTTAATTTCTTCAGTATTTTTCAGTTTTCAGAGCATACGTTTTGTAATTTGTTAAATTTATCTTTTAAAATGTTAACTTTTCTTTTGAGTACTATTGTAAATGGAAAATTTTTAGTTCACTTTTGTTCTTTGTTACATGTAGGGGTGCAAATTATTTTGATGCTTCTTATTTTTATCCTGCTAAATTACTGAGTTAATTTACTAATTCAATTAGGGATTTGGGATATTCTTTAAGGTCTTCTGTATATAATACATCAGTAAATATATATAATTTTATTTCTTCCCTTATCTGAGGAATTTTGATTTCATTTCCTATTTTATTGCCTGGTTCAGACTCTCCAGTAAAATAAGTAAAACAAATAAAAAGGGACATAATTTTCATATTCCTGATCTCAGAGGAAAAAACAGCCTTTCACAATTAACTAGTCTATTAATTTCACCATTTACTGATGATATCAGCTATATGTCTTTGTAGCTGATGTAATACAGAAAGTTAAAGAAATTCCTTGTATTCAAATTTGTTGTGTATTTTTATCATCAGGGATGTTATATTTTATGCAATATCTTTCATCTATTGAAATATTTTATCCTTTATTCATATGATACATTACAGTGATCGATTTTCATATATTAAACCATCCTTGCATTCTTGGATTCAGTCACAGTTGGTCAGGGTATGTTTACTCTTGACGTGTATGTAGTACTGGGTGTGCTTGCTCTTGTCTTGTTGAGGGTTTTTGGATTCATTTTACCTCTGCATAATAGTTTCTCATAATAGTTCATCTGGCTTTAGTCATAAGGTACCACTGATCTTATCCTAGGGAAGTATTCTCTTATGTTATATTTTTTTCCCCAAGTGTTTGTGAAAGATTGGTATTCATTATGTTTTAAATGCTTGAGAATTAGCTAGTGAAGCCAGCATTGGAAGTATTATTGGAGCTTATTGTTGCTGGAACTTTCGAAACAACCAAGTCAATCTTTTCTCACCGTAGGCTTCAGATTATCAACTTTCAAACAGCTTTGTGAGATTAGTTGCCCTTTGGTACTTGTTTTTAGATAATTTGTTGACATATGGTCGATAATTTTTCCATATTATTACCTTCCATTCTTTAGGTCAACAGTATCCTTCTTTATTATTGACTTTTAGTAGTTAAGATTTATTTATTTATTTTGCCATTGTTATTTTAACAAAGATTCTCACTTTGTAGCCCAGCTGGCCTCAACTACTCCCTGAGCTTCTGAGTTCTGGCATTATAGATTCACAATGGTCCTTAAGTCTATTTCAAGGATCAGTTGATGCAAATGTTGCCAATTTCTTTGATCTTTTCAAAGAGTCAACTTTTGGTTTTGATAATTTTTTCCCTTAAAAAATATTCTCAGATGTCCTTAAAGAGAGTAGAGGCGAGCAAACTTCCTTCTTATGTTCTTTGAACATGGTGCCATATTATATTATGACTTGAACCATTTCCAGTAAGAATAATCTGTGACTTTTTGTCCTTTCTTCTTTCTCTTTGGTGTTCCCTGTAAAGTGTGAAAGTCCCCCTCCCCAGTGGGTACTCACTAATTATCCTGGACTGTGATTGGCTGGTCCCTCTTCCCAGTGCCAGTGGGTACTCACTAATTACCCTGGACTGTGATTGGCTTGTCTTTCAAGAATTTTGAAAAATCCTAAACTACCTCATTTGATTCCTTCATGTAAAGTTTCTGTCTATGGAAATTCTCCATTTGTTCATGGATGTTCCATGAATGCTCTGTACCATATCCTTTAACCTATTAATTACTTTTGTATTTGTTTTGGCTGTATGTATGTCTGTGTACCACATGCATGTCAGGTGCCCACGGAGGCCAGAAGAAGAAATGACTCAGTGGTTAACAGCTTTTGCTGCTCTTACAGAGGACCAGCAGCTCACAGCTGTCTGTAAGTCCAGATCTAGGAATCTGACACTCTTCTTTTGGCCTTCACAGGAATCGGGCACATGTGGTACACAGACACACATGCAGGCAGTCATGTACATAAAATAAAACAAATAAATCTTAAAATATAATAATGATAGCAGACTTCTTTGCCTCTAGATAACAGCCCATCCTCCAGCAACAGTGTTTTTTTCCAGCCTTCTTATCTTAAGAGCAGTTGGCCTTTGTGAGCAGAAAGAGAGCAATTTCTATTCTACAGGACATGGCTGTTTTTGTTTGTTTGTTTTATTGGTGGTGGTTTTTATTTGTTTGTTTTTACCATTTTTTAGGCACTAGACTTTTAAGTGAACAGGATCTTTCTGTGTGTCATATTTCAGTGCTGCCTTAGAAGGTAATTCCAGATGACCTTTAGCTTTTAGGGAGAGTGTTTTACTGTTTGCTTTGTTTTATAATGTACTGTTATATTTGTTCTTTTCCAGCCTAGGCTTGATCTCCGACTCTTTCCACATGTTTTTTGACAGTACTGCCATATTGGCCGGATTGGCAGCTTCTGTTATTTCAAAGTGGAGAGATAATGATGCTTTCTCTTATGGGTAAGACTTTAAAATACTTTTCTTGAACTACAAGATACACAGAAAAATATACAGCTCTAAGGCCATGAGTTTTTATAAGTTTGCCTGTGTGGTTTGAGCCTTGAAACCCCCCTGAGGCCTCTTACAGGTCCTTCTTATTCATCTCCCTCAGGGTTACCCTTTAACTTCCTGGATTAAATGTGTCTGCTTTAGAAGTATATAGAGGAAGGAAGGGAATGGAGAAGTGATATAATTGTACTCTCAAAATAAAAGAAAGAACTTTTTTTTAAGTATATGATCAGAATGTGTAATGTAACTTTATTCATATACAGAATCTTTTGTTTGGCAGATAAGCTCTTAGTTTTACCAAAAAGATTTAGGAGATACATTGTTGCTGTGTAAGGATTTTCTCGTAGCCTATTTTTCGACAAAGAAAGTCGTATGAAACTGATCATATTTTTTTTTTTAATTTTTTTAAACTGGAGATACTCTGCTATTATATATTTAAAATTATTTCATAAGATGGTCTTATTGGTCTTTTTAGCTTTGTTTTTATGTACAGTGATCTCTATCTCCCCGCTTGTACACTCAGCCCCATGCTATGCAGGAACCATTAGAGACCCAGATTAGAGGCAGAGTTGGCGTCCTGCCCCCATGGACTGGAGAATCAACAAGCTTTCATTATTTGACTTAAGCTTCCCTATTTCCCTGACCTGAGCTCGTACAACATTTCATGGTATAATTCTGTTCATGTGTAAGCAGAGATGAGGACTGATGTCCTTTCCAGCCTTCCTTGTGCATGCTAATTCCTTCCTTGTTTACCCCTGCTTTATCTCTTTTCTTAGTGCTTTCTCACAGCACTCTTTAGCTGCCCTTCCTCTTTCCCCTTGCTCATGCTCACCTTTCCTGGCTCTGCCTCTGCCGCCCCCCCCCCCCAATCTCTTCCTCACTTTTGCTTATATCCCTCATGTTCTCCTGTCCTGGCTTTCTCTCTGGCCCTACCCCCTCCCTCCCTCTCGGCCTGTTTCCTCCACACCTTTTCAGTCTGCATACTGCTGTTGCCTTGGCTAGTTGACACATGAGACGTGCTCAGTCAGTTCTACTTTCACAAACTACAAGTTCTAATTCTAAGACTCCCTCTGTTCAGGTAAATAACCATCTATGATCTAGCTTTCTTCTTCGCTTTAAACCTACAAGCAGGCCCAGTAACGAACTAACTAACACTAATCCAGCAGTTTATGAGAATGCATGAAACATATCTACCGAGCTAGAAATTAGGAACCAAAAGATTCCTAAAATATTTTCTTGCCTTTGATCTTGAAATTCAGTAAGGATGAAAAGCTTTCTGTCAAGCATTAACTATAGGACTAGAGGGAGAAAATGATCTGTTTTGAACAATAATCCTGCTGATTTAGTAGATAAACCCCTTTCAAGTATAAATTATAGAAAAATGACTGTGTATTTCTTGAGTTTAGTACTTTTCTCCAAAACATACATGCTTTGATGAATAATAGTTGAATTTAATTTACTTGTATATATTTGAAAATGGAGTGTGAAATTCCTGTTCTGTTAGATCTGCTTGATAGGATGAACACAAACGTAACTGGGGAGAGGACCTATAAAGAGTTTGTTCAGCCTGGCATGATCACACATGGTTGTAACCCCAGAACTTGGAAATAATTTGAAGCCCTCATAGGTTCCAGAGTGAGTTCCAGGGTGTCCTTAGAGTGTCTCTACATAACCAGAAAAGAAAATGTCCTCTTTACTTAAAAGAATGTTTTTATAACAAAAGTTTTGTGTAGCATTGACTTAGGAAGCTGGCAAAAGCATTTTTTCTTAAAGGCAGCCTCCTTATAAAGTTTGAGTCAGCCTAGAACTTATAACCTTCCTGGCGCAGTCTCTGTGCATGCCACCACACAGTGTCTCAAGAGCAGTTCTCATGTTTGCAGCGTTGGTGAAGGACTAGCTGGCGTGAACACACATTGAGCTAACGTTGTTTCCGTGGCCTCAGCCAAATATGCCTTATGGAAGCACGAGATCTCTCTCCAGTGCTTCTCCTAAGTAGGAAGCCCAGAGACAGGGATGGACACGTAAAAGTGGTTTTATGTAATGATATGAAGATCGAGTTAGTTCTAAAAATAAATAACTACAAGTTTAGGCTGAGTATATTAGTTTAGAAAAAGATAATAAACATAAATCTCAGGGTTTCTCTGATGTAATGCAGGGATAATTTAACTTTACTTGAGATGAGAGCTCCATTTCCTAAAGATTTCATAGCCATAAGGTACAAAGTGAGTTCTCAGGATAGGAGAATAACTACTGTAAAAACCCAGTTTCCTGGACATTTTCTCTTGCTTTCTTTGTCCCCTTCTTTGTACACTTGCCTGGTCTTGTCCTCTCTACAGTGGCAGCTTAAGATTTACATTTCTGTGGCTCTCTAAGCCTACTTTGTGTTTTGTTTCATTTGCTATCAAATGTAGTTCATAGTAAATTAATCTCTTAATCCATCTTACAGTATTATATGACTGTAAATATGAAGACTTTGCTGGCACTTAAACATGTAACATGGTTTACAGTCTCTAAAACATACATTTATTTGGATTTTAAGAAGTGTAATTCACTGTTTGTCTTGTTCTTCTTTAGGTATGTTAGAGCAGAAGTTCTGGCTGGCTTTGTCAATGGGCTGTTTTTGATCTTCACTGCTTTCTTTATTTTCTCAGAAGGAGTTGAGGTATAGTAGATAATTATTAGAGTCAGGAAATGGCTTTTCTCAATGAAAATGTTTTAAAGATATAACGGAGATATAACGGAAATAGAGATCTTTTCAACTGTCGTTTATTGAGAGAAAATGTATGTGTATATGAGGATTTATGAAGTAGTGGAAAATTACATATATATATACATATACATATACATATTCACACACATATATATATATATAGATATAGATATATATAAAGTATCTTGATGGGAAACAATGGAATGGTAGTGCTCTATAAACTGTGAATCAAGTCCTGCCATTGAGAAGCAGAGGTGCGGTTTGAGTAATGGGGTCCTGTGGGAATTGTCTTTAAAACACCTAGGAGCTGATAGTTTTGCTGCTCAGCATTTAATACTTGGTGTACATTTTCTAAGAGTAGAAGGAGAGTGGGAGGATTAGTAAACATAGAAACAGCAAGAGGAACAGGTGTAGAAACAAATATCACGCATATTTACATTTATTTAGAGACAGTAACTGTTACTTTTTTGGCAGTATGTGAATACTTGCTTTAGCTGTCTCAACTTTGGGCAGGTAGTTTTGAGCACTTTTACTTATGATAATGACTAAAAATTTTCATATCGCACTATACTGCCAGCAGTTTCAATCAGGAACCGTACCAATGCCGTCTCTTTGTATTGTGTGTTTTCAGAGGGCATTGGCCCCCCCAGATGTGCACCACGAGAGACTGTTGCTTGTTTCAATTCTTGGATTTGTGGTAAACCTAGTGGGAATATTTGTTTTCAATCATGGAGGTCATGGACATTCTCATGGCTCTGGCTCTGGTATGATGGTTAGAACTATTTGTTTCTTCATTTTGTTAACATTTATTTGGTGTGTACGTGCGTGCATGCGTGCATGTGAGTGTGTGTGCATGTTTGTATAGGTCAGAGGACAATGTGGGAGAATTGGTTTTCTCTGTCCACCAAGTTCTGGGGCTCGAATTCAGGTCTTCAGTCTTGGGGGCAGATATCCTGGCAAGTCCCCATTGTTTTCCTCTTCTTTTTACTATTTTGCTTGTTTCTGTCATTAAATATTTTAGAAAATCATTAATTTTAAAGTTGCAGGAGTATGATATCTAGATACTCAGAAATGTCTTCCTGAGCCAGCCCTTGTTCTTCTCCATAGCTCTGCTCCAATGCCATTCAGACCTCTTATGCACATTATCATACTGGTATGGACTTCTCCAGATCTATGTAGCTCATCTGCTTTATGTAATATTTAATTCATAATAAATAACAGGTATCAGAAAACCACAAATCTGGTTGCTTAAACAAATTGTGTATGTGCTTGTAAGTTAGTGTGTAATACATTTTAAAGATCCTTCCATTTGTAGATGTTGGTCTACTATATATTTATGAAATCACTTTAGTATAATGAACTCACAGAAAACTCCATGGTATGAAGCCAGGCCTGGTGGTGCATGTCTGCTACAATCTCAGCACTTGGGAGACAGAGGCAGGAGGATTAATTCAGCCTTTCCTGTTCTACATAGTGAATTCCAGGCTATCTAGGGTGCATAGTGAGACCCTTTCTCAACCACAAAGCTAAATAAAGGCCAAAACAAAACAAAAACACAACAAAAAACAGAGGGAACAAGAAAACATATGAAGCTGCAGTGTTGCCTAGTTCAGACCTAGACCATTTCCATCACTACAGATAGTTCTTTTAATTCAGTATGTTAATGTAGCAGTAGGATTTATAAAACATGGTATATGTACATTTTTAGTAGTACCCTTATTTTTTTCAAGTTGCCTTCTTGCAATGACAGTTATATCCAGAAGTAAATGTATTCATTTTCTCCCCAGACTATATCAACCTTTAATATTAGAGATTAAAGTGGTTTTGTTCACATTTAATAAAGGTGGCTTCTTTTTCTTGTCTCTGGTTAGTAGGGAAGTTGGACATTCTACTGGTGTGTTTCTAGGCAATAACTGTCTCTCTGTTTTTGTTTTTTGTTTTTTTGTTTGTTTGTTTTTTCCACTTGTTGCTACCTTTGTTTTATGTGTTTTAAATATCTTTTCCAAGTTGATGCTTTAAGTTTCATATAGAGGTTAATTTGTAGGTAGTCTTTGATGGTTAGCGTTGATTGTCGCTGACACACCTGTGGGCTCCTGGGGAGAAAGACTCAGTGAAGTGTTGTCTACATTAGGTTGGCCTGTAGGCTTTCCTGACAGGGACTATCTCAGCGTAGTTAACTGAAGTGGTAGCACCATTGCCTAGTCAGGGATCCTGCAGTTGAGTTCAGCAGCAGGTAAGTGAGCTTGATGTTGGACATAGTAAGAGTAGCTGGATGACGTTATGTCTTGACTGAAACCTATAAGTGCAATCTGAAATAAGCGCTTTTTGCTCCAAATTTGCTTTTTTTTCTTCCAGGGTATTTTGGCACAGCAATAGAAATGAAAGTACAATATAGTCTGATTTTTGTCTTACATTTTTTTCATATGTATTTTCTTCTCTGTTTCAATGATTTTTCTATTCCAGGGCATGAACACCAAGTCCTCTGTGTTAATGCTCTCATTTTGGGTTGATGGTTTCTTGTTACCCACTTTGTTTTTCCATCTATTTATAACTTTTTTCTTCATAATGAGTGAGTTTGAGATATTTCCCCTTTAGGAAAAATAAGCATTTTTCCAGTCATTCTCCTAAGAGAGTTTTTAGTGATTGTCTTGGGAACATCAGCATCTAGTTCAGATGCTTAGTAAATTAATTCAGTAATACCCCTGTCCCAATGTACTCTTGTTCTCTTCCTCCTTTATTGTTATTGGAATTCATATTTATAACCCATCATTTTAGTTCTGCACTAAGTGGTTTGTGTGCTATCTTTTCAAACAGAGTTGTGAACACAAACTGTCTTTGTGATTATCTGTCCATTGTTTATTTTTTCTTTGTGTGGGTTTGAACTACTCTTTAATCTCCTTTGATTTATCCTGAGAACGCTTCACTATTGGAGGGGACAAGCTTTTGTTTTTCTGGATTGCCTCAGTTTCTCCTTTATTTTAAAGGGAATTCTATAGATTATAGAATTTTTCAGTTTTGTACCCCACCACTGCCATTTTGATATCCATCCACTGCCTTTTGGCCTCTAGGATTTCTTTCTTCTGTTTGTTTCACTTTGAAAGAGTTTTTTTTTACTATGTGTATGTACACATGTGCGCATGTGCCATGGCATGTGTGTTGACAAAGGTGGCATTCGGCATTGTGGAGGAGCATCCCTCCTTCTGTTCACTCTCCATCCTTTTGTTTCCTTTCTCCTTTTGTTCCAGAAGCAACCCCCTTGGAGCAGATTGTAGGCAAAGCATCAGGCTACATATACATGTACACTTGCATGTATTGTGGGGTTTCAACTAAGACCCTGAGTCAGCTTGAGACCTATCTGTAATTCCAGCTATTGGGAGGCTGAGGCAGGAGGATTGTTTGTTCTAGACCAACCTGGGATACATGATGAGACCTTCAGTTCTTGGGCTTTGTGCCTCCCTCTAGAAGATCCACCTGAGTCCCTCTCTCAGTGCAATGTGCTGGTGTTAACTGAACCGGGAACTAGGAGACGACCCACCATGGTCTGGTCTCCCTGAGGGCTGCTCTGTGAATCTGGAATTTCTCTTGAGTAGTGAGCTCTTAGTATTTGAAGTGCCGGTGTATATCAGCTATGCAGCAAGAAAAGACCGTCAAGATTTTCTCCTTAGTTTGCTTTCATCACCTGTGATGTCTCTGATACGATTGCGTTTATTATACTTGGACTTTAATGGATTTCTTGACTGTATGGTCATCAAACTGGGCCAATTTTCAGCTGTTGGTTCCTATTTTTCTCCCCTCCTCTTGCTCCTCTGGCTCCTTTTTCTTTCTCTTTTCTTTCTGCTTTTGAGGACATGGTCTCTACTTACCTGTTTGTATAGCAGCCATGGTTGCTGAGTCCTTCTGGTGTCTATTTTACTGTTGTGCTTTAATTCCAGAATCTCTGGTATCTAAAATTTATTGTTTTGAGAAAAACAAAAAACAAAGCAACGACAACAACAACAACAAAAAAAAACCTTTGCTTTATAGTCCGTGCTAATCTTTTAATTGCTGCCCTCCTGCCTCTACATCCTGAGTACTTAACTGGAGGCATGAGCCCACAACCTGGTTTTATAACTTCTATGCTGTTTTTCTTGTTGACTTACAGACTTTAGACAGACTTACTGAGTCTTCAGACCTGGTTTCTTTTTGCTCATTGAATATGTTTATATTAGCTGGTTAAAATTTGCTTACCAAGTCTTTGGGGCCTCTTTAGAAGTATCTCCAGTTGGTGTATGGCACAAGTTCCTATACCTTTGCTTGGCTCATTCCTTGATGAGAGCTGGACTTTAGGTCGTGTATTTTGAAAACTCTGACATCAAATTGTGTCTTCCCTTTAGAGTTTATTGTTTCTGGTGTTTTGTTCATGTGTTACTTTTGAGTCTTTCTAGATTGGATGACAAATCATGTGTTTCTTGTAGGATGTGGCCATTAAGCGGTCTGATAGTTTTTACTTTAGGATCTTCCTTCTGTTTTTTATCCTGTCTGACTAGTAGTCATTAGCCTGGAATGGCTTAGTAGTCACCCAGAATTTAGTCAATTTCCTCAAATGGCTTGCTTACAAATCTCCCACTTTAGGCAAAGGGAGAAAGTACATCTTCCAACTCTACTTCAAAGTTACCAGAGAGCCCTAAGTTTTATCTCCTGCTAGCTTAGAAGTTGCAAGGTCAATGAAAGACGAATGGCAGTTCTTTCTTTTTCAGATTATCTTAGTCTGTGCACACCCTTTTACATTCCCAGGAGTGTGTTGTTATCTTGCAGACTTCCTTGTGGAATCTGCCTCTCTGAGGTTTCCTGAAGTTCTCAGAAATCTAATGTCAGCAGCTGACTAACTGCTGGGAATTCCCCACTATTACCTTAGTGCCTGCTGAGCTCTCAGCCTAGGAGTCTCATGGAAACTAGAGACTGTGCCAGTGAGTTGCACTGATGGACAAATACTAGCTAACCAGAAGGTGGTGCTGTATCAATGTACCAAAAGCAACCTCATCACCCTGTTATCTACAGCTTGGTGGCTTTGAGTTATTTTATTTTGCTCCTGGGCTGGGAAGGGAAGACTGTGTTCCTTACAAGGCCTAGTAGATGATGACTTTCTGTGTATTCTGTGGTTCTCTTCGGTTGGCCAGAGCTCTGACATGGTTGCTTTATTACTTGTTTTCTTTTTTTTTTTTTTTCTCCCCCTATAGTCTTGGCACTTAGGAGAGGGTTGAGATTCTCTTTGCAGTTGTCTGGAAGGTGATCTGGAGATCCTGAAGGATTTGCATTTTCTGGCCTTCAGAGCTTATTCCTGGGCTCTGTGGTAGAACTCAGAATTGTTTGAGTACATTGATGGTATTTATTAGAAGCAAGTGTTATCTGCATTGAATGTGGAGACAGGATTCTTCTAACTAGTATTATTGTAATCAGTTATGAATTTTTACATCTCTCCTGTTCTAATATTGCTTGTTTTCTAGGTCATGGACACAGTCACTCCCTCTTTAATGGTGCTCTAGATCATACCCATGGCCATGAAGATCATTGCCATAGTCATGAAGCCAAACATGGAGCTGCACACAGCCATGACCATGCTCATGGACACGGACACTTCCATTCTCACGGTGAGTGCAGCCAGGGCACCAGCAGAGGGCTAGCCTTCCAAACCAACAACATGTGTGAGGTGACTTTCCAAGCTGGAATGGTCTATTGAGAGGACCTTAGCCTCAAGTGACTCTGTTTAAATGGCTTCCAGTGTTAGTTTCTTTTTATTGTACTGTCATATGAAGTTAAGGCAGTGGATTTAATTTTTTTCTTTTTTTTTTTTTAGTGAATATAATAATAAAATGCTAGTCTTTTTATTGTGTAAATGGGAAACAGTTGACGTTTAGCAAATTAAAAACTATGATTATTTTAAGTCTGACAAGGCCTTTAGTATATGTTATAAAAATACTAAAGATTTTTCAATTTTTATTATAACTTTATGTTAACTGCCTAATATTCTGTGCTTCTTCAGAAATCTTTATGTAATAGTAGTAGATGCTAAATTACAATGTATTTATCAACATATTATTCATATGTTGAGAGTATAGATTAATAGGAACTGCTTAGGTAACAAAATCTACCCATGTCTTAAATAAATTATGCATTTAGATGTTTACCGGCACTGGCCATGCGGACAGAATACTAAAGCTTTACATATGAACAAAGTGAGAAGAGCCTTGAGGATTGAACATTCCAATTTTGTAGTCTTCCAATTTTCAAAATACCTAATTGAAATATGATTGGTAAACAAAATGCTGTGCATATTCAATGCTTATGCTTTGATCTCAGGGACTAGTTTACCCTTGTGGAACCATTACTTCATTATAATGTGTAGACCTCGTTCCCATGACTTTCCTCCCACTTCTTTATTATTTATTCATTATTTAGATTAGAGCACAGCATAAATCCTGCCGTCCTGACAGCTTGAATTATACAGTACAGTGTCAGCTATAATTACTCCAGAGTTGTCCAGCTCTCTGGGCCTTATGCATAAATAGTGTAATTTAACGTTTGTACCCTTCGACACGACACTTACTTCTCCCTAGTGTCTGGAAAGGGCCAAGCTCTTCTCTGTTTCTATGAGTTTGACTCCTCCAGCTTCCTCATATAAATGGTAGCTGGTGTTGAGTTTTTCTTGCTTCACATGTCTTCTGAGTTTATCCATGTTGTCCTGAACTTCAGCTTTCTCTTCTAGAAGGAGGAAGGATACCCCCGTCACCCATCAGGCACATTTAGGTTGCTTCCCTGTCTTCAGTGTGGAAAGTCATGGTGCAGTGAATGGAAGCAGGCCTGCATCTCAGGGTCTGGGTTCCAGCTCCTTTGGTTTTGTGCCCAGAACTAATACTGGTGCTCTTGCTGTAACCACTTACCACTTTTTGTAGTGGTTGTACCAGTTTATATACCAGTTTACATTCCTATTAATAGTGTATAAGGGTTCCCTTTTCTCCACACACTCGCCAGTACTTTTTTTTTTTTTAATAGCCATGAGTCTTCCTAACAGTTTCCTTGAAATTGAAATTTGTATTTGTATTGGAATTTCTCTGCTGAGTACTGATGTTAAATTTCTTTCTCTATACCAATGGGACATTTTTCAATCTGACAGATATTTTCCTTTGAGTTGTTTGAGCGCTTCATATATTTTGGTATTAACAGTCAGACATATACTTTGTAGGTATTCTCTATACTCCTAAGGTTACCTTTTCTTTTTGTTCTTTCTGGTTTGGGGTGGTAATCCCATAGGTCAGCTTGCATTACCTCCTTCAATCTATAATATGCTATGTTTTGAAGCAGTTACACTGTCAGATCTGAAAATTAATTTTTTGAACACTTTTGTTCACATGCATTATCCCAATATAATTTTGAAAAATTGCTTATCCCTCGCTAATTTAACATGATTTCTGAAATGTTCTTGCAGTTATTAATTTCTGGCACATAATACCTTAATTAATTAAACAAGTAAAATATACTTATTTGATTTGGCCTTTTGAGACAGGGTCTCAGTATGTAGCCCTGAGTGGCCTGGAATTCATTATATAATCCCAGGCTGATACAGCAAGTATACTCCTTGTAAATAATATTTTAAGATGAAAGTTCTATGTGATTCTTTTGGTCACTGTCCTAGTTTGCTTCCTATTGTTAAAAACACTGAGCAAGTCTAGCAGTGTAATTCCAAATCCCAAATCTTGTACCTAAAGTCTTGCCACCTTGGACTCACTATCTTCTGGGCTCAAGTAACCCCACTTCCCCGCCCCCCGCCCTCTCATCCACAGCACACACAGCTTGTCTCATAGGCTCAGGCCTGCTCTTCTTCACACCTGTTATTGTCCTTGTCAGATGTCTCGTTGTCATCTCCCATCTGCTGAGGTCTCTACAGGAACTGAGGTTGTACCTTCACTGATGGCCTAATGTTTCCTCCTCAGAGTCCACAACCCTACTGCATGGTGCCAAGGCTCAGCTTCATCCCATAACCCCTTGGGTCTTCATCCCATAAGTCCTTGGATCTTCACACAACTAAGGCCACACCTTCATCAATGGTCTCCCCTGCCCTTTCACAGTGCCAAGCCAAAGCTGCTCTCATCCATTCAGTCCTGTAGCTTTTGGTGTCAACAAAATCAGTATATGTGCTTACACATTGCCGAGTTTGGCAGTCAGCTGGAGAATCACAGCTGCACAGCACCATCTGTATGCTGACCCTGAGAAACCTTCCCAGAAGATTTCATCTGTGCTGCTGGTCTCTTGTTAGTCAAAGCTGAGTCTTCAGCCCTAGCTAACCAGCATCAGTTGTGCCAGTAAAGCAACAGTGCCAATTCCACAGACTATTAGTCCAAAATATCATGTGAATGGTCTTTATTTCCCACTGTAATTTCACAAGCCAGGCCTCCGACATCTGCACCTCTGTCCTCAATCTAACCTTCCAAGCTCCTATAACAGTGGAAGCTCTGAGCATCCAGCAGCCTTTTGAGCCCAGAGTTTCACAGTCCTCCCTAAACACGATTAAGCTGCAGTTTATATTCCAGTTTGTTTTCTGTGTCTGTGATAAATACCATGACCAAAAGCAACTTGGGAAGGAAAGGGTTTATTTTACCTTACAAGGGAGAGTTCATCATCAAGGGAAGTCAAGGCAGTAACCTAGAGGCAGGAACTGAAGCAAACAAACACAGTGAATTCTCCCTACCTTGGTGACTTGAGGCTCACTAGTCAGAGCCATAGATTACTATAAAGTTCCCATCATTGATTTCTCTTTATTGTTCCCATTTTCCTGCCTTTCCAGAGTTTCCTGTTAACGGAGTATGCTTGCATGCATTCTTAACTGATGAGACAGGAATGCAGGGCTGTGGATGGCTCAGTTGGTAAAGTGCCTGCTTCACAGGCACAAGGACCTAGCTTGGTCCAGAGTACCCACATAAAAAACTGGGGAGCAAGAAGTGGTGGGGTGCTCCTAGAGCTCTACCCCGTGAGCAGATACAGGTGGATCCCTGAAGCTCATCAGTCAGACAGTCTAGCTGAGTAGATGGGCTTCAGGATCAACAAGAAACCTTGCCTCTAAAAGTAAAGGTGGAGTGCGATGGAGGAATCATGTCAGCCTCGGGCCTCACACATGTTCACATCCGTGCTAATATGTGTACACATCACATACAAAAATTAATATAGCCAATAGATTAACATGAATACAAATTTAAATTTATTCTTCTCTGTGAACTTAATATTTTACATTCAGGGATTTCTTTAAACCAGAATTATTGGAGTCATTAAATACAAAGCAATTAAAGTAGTTTTGTCTCAAATTTTGTTAGTTATGAACTGTCACAAGATAACATTTTACTTGAAATATCTTTCTGAATTAAAGTTCTTTTTTTTTTCTGTTTTGTTTTTTAAAACAGGGATTCACTCTGTAGTGCAGGTTGCCCAGGACTCACCATGTAGCCCAGGCTGGCCTCCAACTCACAGCAATTCCTCCCTCAGCCTCCCAAGTGCTGAGGTTAAAGATGTTAGCCATTGCTACCAGCTTTTGTTTAAAAAAAAAAAAAATTTAGATAAATAATGCTGACATAAACTATAATTCTTACAATAGGATCTATTAGCTAGTCATTAGAATTTAACTGTGACACTAATATTTTCAAGTGACCTATTATTCTTTGCTCTAGTATTCTTTTTTAAATACCCAGTAGTGAGTCCATACAACTTTTCTGGTCACGATGGAGAAGGGTATGAGGTGGAGAATGTCTGGCCTCTGTGCCCATTCTCAGGTTGATTACTTTTACTGTTTCCAGCCTGGGGCCCATGGGCTGCATAAAATAGCTATTAATGTAGCCCAACACAAAATAGCAAACTTAAACTTTTTGTTTTCTCTTTTGGTGTGTAACTTGACTCTACGGTCCTGAAGTATGAATTTTACAGGTGTGAACATTCTGTGATAATGGGAAAAGGCTGAACATGCCTCATGGTCTATGAATTTAGAAGCTAAATTGCTTATGTGGTAGCACTCGTATTAACCCCCGACAGCTCTTTTACTTTGTGGCATCAGAGCTGTGGAATGTGTAGCATGGCCCGATCAAGTGACCAGGATAGCCATTGTTTATGGACCAGCATTGAAGCCTGTGGTAATGCAGTTGACGTCTATACTCTTGCTCTTCAATAGACTGAGTTTCTTGTGTCACACTGATTTTTGTATAAAACTCTGCACGGCTCTAGCACACAGAAGCAACTCATTAGATATTTATTAGGTTCCCATATGTTTACTTGTGTTTTCAATGGCTGGGTGAATTTTCTCCAGGGTTCCCACTCCTACTATACAGCAAGGCTTGAATACCCCTTATCAAAGTATCTGAACTATTTGGGTTTTCTCTGTATTTGAGATATTTGCAGTAGGCTGTACTAATTGAACATCTCTAGTTTAAAGTCCAAAATGTCCCCAAACCTGGAACATTTTGACTTATTAATCTGATACTCTGAACTCCAGGAACTTTAGAGAGAGCATTGTAGGTCTTGAATTGTGGCTTTTCAATCAGGTTTGAAAGAAAAGGATAGAAATCTGATTCTCCTTGTTAGGATTAATTGATTACAAAAAGGGTTATTTTTTTCCTAATTTACTAGAAAAGACATCTTGTGTTTAGATTTTAATAAAAATATATATTTTGGAAGATTGAGAAAAACTTTAAAAACTACTCAGGTTCATTTTGTGAGAGTTCAATTAATATTTGTGGCATTGTAATTATTTTCATAAGCATTCTAAGAACTTTATATATGTTTTATATTTTTTTCATCATCTATTGGAGGAGATAATAGCTGTTGTCCCTGTTAACTGAGGCACAAACAAATCATAGTAAATAATGAATTAAGAAGCTAGGATTTCTGACCAATGAGATGGCTCAATATGTAAGGGGCGCTTGCTGTCAAGTCTGATGACCTGAGTTCAAACCCACCTGGTGAAAGAAGAAAACAACTTCCTCAAGCTGTCTTCTCATTGCCATATGTGTGAGTGCATGCACACATGTAAATAATTGAATAAGTAAAACAGCTAGGATTTGAACATCAAATCATACGGTGGGGTATGTAAGAAAATGGGCCTGATTTCATCTTGTCTGCGACCCATATCCGTCTCTGAGCTTCTATTCTGTTTGCTGGAATGCAACACTATGAGGGAGCTGTGTTGTTTTGAAAGTGCTTACGTCAATGGTGCAGCAATCAGGAGCTTCCTTTCTCTAGAGCATTATGTCTGCTTCAGTCACCCAGTGGCTCCTCCAGTTCTCATGTTGACATTCTGGCGAACCTGAAAGAGGCTTGTATCTTTCACACTTTATCCACAACTCACCACAGCACACCCAACTCAAGGAAAGGAGGAAACAGTGAAGTTGTAGACTCAACAAGAAGTTTCAAAAGAAACAGGTTTGGAGAGCAGCTATCCAGCCAGCTTCTGCCACAGATGCCATGCAACCAAGAGGACTTTTACTGTTAACTTAGTTGGAGTTAGGTTTTATAATCATGTCATCAAACTATCCCTTTTAAAGTGCTGACATCAAAACACTTTTCGAGAGATACTTCGCGCATGCAGAAAGTTGGTGATTTGCTCAGGAGCTGTCAGTAGGATTTCTGTATCAGCTGCATCTTTCAGGAGAGAACCTTAGCACTATGGAATGCACTGTGCCATCTCTTGCTTTTGTGTCTTTGTTGCATATTGCCCTGCACTGTCCCAGTGTGATTCACTGTTGGCAATGCTCAGGCGTGCTTCCAACTGCAAGCCAATGACTATTCAGTCACCGTGCTTCACATTCACAAAGCTTGTCTGGTCTCCTTTTAAACAAATGCTGCCCACCTTTTGCCATTTATGTATCTTTTTGTTTCATTGCAAAACTAATTAGTAGTCTCTGATGCATTTAAGTATAGAAATTATAGTACTTTTATCTTTTCATCATAAAGAGAATTTTATTTCACTCTGCAAAAAAAGAATTTCATTAAGAGAATGAACACCCTCCCAAAAGTAACATACTAAACATGTCACTGCTTTAAAATTTGGGAATTTGGCAGCACATATTATTATGTCACATGTTATCCATTTTCCACCTCACCCTTTCCCACAAAATACTCTATGTTAGCAGTGAACATTACACCTTTTCAATTAGTGCTTGCTTGTTGACGTAGCTCACCTGCAGGCCTGTGGCACACTGCCTTTCTGTCCTTGGAGATCCAGGCAGGGTCCATCTGTGGCACACTGCCTTTCTGTCCTTGGAGATCCAGGGTTCATCTGTGATTGTAACTTTGCTTTTGCCCTGTGGACAAGGGGAAATGCATCAAGGTCACACGATAAAAGGCAGGATTTTAGTAAAGTGACTGTTTTCTGTACAGCAAGTGGCACAGTCATACAGATGCTGCTGGAAGCTGATGTTCCACGGTTACATTACCTTGTTGTCAGTTCTAGCTTTCATTCATGGACCTCTTCAAATGTTATTAGTACAATATTGGTAGATTTTCGTAATATTTTGAATTTCCTGTGATTTTTATTTATAGTACAATAAATTGCAAAATATTCTATACCTTTGTTACATTTCAAAATTGCCCTCTTTAAATTCGCCTGTACTTGATTACTCGGTTAAGTTAAAAAATAATTTTGTAAGTTTAATATGACTGTATACTCACACCTCCATCATACACTTGAGCAAAAAGGACTCTGAATTGCAAACATTTGGATCAGGAAGGGAAGTGATGTTTAAATAACTTAATTGAATTCTCCACAGATGGCCCATCCTTCAAAGAAACGACAGGACCCAGCAGACAGATTTTACAAGGTATGACAAACAGTTGTGTGTTTCTTGATTTCATGAAACTGACTTCATAGTTCTCAGTTGTCCAGAGTTGTCCTTAAAAAAAAAAAGAACTTGGTTGTAATCAGAGGTTTCTCTCCCGCCTTCCAGTTGCAGAGTAACTACTTAGAGGCTTAATATTACTTATAAATATTTGGCTGATGGCTTGAGCTTATTATTAGCTAGCTCTTACATTTAAATGAACCCATATTTTTTTAATCTATGTTTTGCTACATGGTTTGTGGCTTATTACTTTATTTTTTACATGTCTTGCTTCATTGATGGCTGCCTGGCATCTTCCTGACTCCACACTTGTTCATCTCCCTTTTCAGTTTGAAACTACTGCCTAACCTTATTCTGCCTCGCCATTGACCAAACAACTTTATTATCAACCAATGGAACAACACATATTCATAGTGTACAGGGTCCCACAGCAGTTGGTAATCATATTTAAAATGTTATCCCTCCTAGGAAATGTGTGCACACACAAACACACATACTGTGTTGGGTATTTAGCAGTATTTTGTCATGTGGCTGATTTCTCAGATCTAATTAAGAAAACAAAAAACTAGAAATTGGAAAACCCTGCTAAAGGTAAGTACTAGACCTGACCTCAGCAATTCCTGGTATGTTTGCTTTCCTAGGATTATGACGGTTTTTCCGGGAATAATGTTCAATATGTTTTGAAGATGTGGGAAAATTTAGAGCTAAAAACAAAATCAAAATCAGTGAGATCTTTGTCATATGTGAAGGCATCAATTAATGACACCTCAACAGAATCTTAATGCTGCATAAACAGTATCAGCTAGAGAAAACCGATCTGTCTATGAGCTCTGCTACTTTCCTTTGAGGGATGTGAGCCAGTCTTCCTCAGTTTTTGCTGAACTACATCATCCAGATTCCCAGCTTCCGGCTTCCTGCTTTTTTTTTTTTTTTTTTTTTTTTTTTGTTTGTTTGTTTGTTTTTGTTTTTTAATGTTAACCCTACTTTATTCTGGGTTTTGAAGTGGCCTTTTGATCCTTTTCTCAACTGTTTCTTGATCTAATTCTTACTTTTCTTACTTTTTGTGTTTCTCCATAGGGAAGATTTATTTTCAAAGGTCTTTAGGCTACCTTCTAGCCATCAACTTCTGTTTACAAAATATATGGAATTGCTTTAAAAACAGTCTTCACATTTTTTGATACAACGGTATCAAGTTCTATCATAATAATTTATATTTAGTTATGAAAAATTACTTTTTACATCTTTTGTACACGCTATAATGAAAATGAGTTTCTGTTTCTGAAATACATGAGTTTCTGGATCTCAAGACAGCCAGGAGGAAGCTAAAGGGCATCTGTGACTGCTAAAGGACAGCTGTGGCTGCCTGGTGTAAAAGCCGTCCTGGCCAGCTGCTCTGCGAACACGCAGACGTGAGCACTTTGAGCTAATGCAGTTTCCACTTGCTTGCTGGTCCTCAGTTTGGCCTCCACTATACTAAGTTTAGAGGTATTAGATCATTGGTGTGTTACAAATCTTGCATGGTTTCAGTTTTATATGAGTTAAACATGCTTTATATGTGTCTTTAGTGATTTCTTTTTTCATAGTTACTATAAAATAGAGTAGTTAATGATGTGTACTAATAAAACCCATTTTCTGCCTAGGAAATTATATGTAGGCAGGGACTTTCCAACCTTAGGAGAAGCAAGAACAGATTATTTCACCCCCCCCCCTTTTTTCATTGTTAGAACTGTTTTTATTTTGTTCCTACCAAAACACTAATGGAAGAATATAAAAGCTTAAAGCTATGTTATCACATTTCCGCACACATCCACACACAGGTGTGAAAATTTCTGCAGAGTAGTCTGCACAGATGAAAAGGAATAGGGGTGTAAGGATGGGTGCCATGTGCTGTGGCCGCTATAAACTATAGAAAAGACATTGTCTTTTCCCAGCAAACATTAAGATTTAAAGGACTAGGTGGTCAGAGTTTCAGCTGCTACAAAGTCTCTTTCAGTTTAAAAGGCACATATTTACCTTTTATTGTTCAGGGAACCCAGCATAAATCTCTAAGCTAGTCAGTCTGCCATGTAGAGCAGTCATTGATGGTGCTAAAGACTTACGGGTTTTTTTCTGAGCAAAGTACACTTAAGTTTAACAACTATTTTGCTGTGTGGTGAGTTTTGCTCATTAAGGATCTACATGTTGAGTGAGTTACTGTCTTAGGTATTTTCAGAAAGAATTGTGTATGCAATTTCTTTCTTGAAATTGTAATGGTTTTCCAGACAAATGACTCTTAACAGTATATTTGAGTTAACCAGTGACCTACTTAGTATTTAATAGTAAAGGTTCAATATATGTTTTCTAGTCATTTAAAAGTATTCAGATACCTGCTTTTTTTTCTGCACAGTGAATTTGATCATAGTAACAAATTTAGGTAGTGAAAACCTTTTGAATAATATCAGGTTAAGTAGTGTTAGGGCCCATATGACATTCTAGTCTTAAGGCAATATTTTTAATCACCAGCAGAGGGCAGTGTGTGTACATGTTTTCAAAATTAAAATGCTTTATTAACCTTTTTTTTTTTCTGCCTGATGCTCTTTTCCTTCCCAAGCAAATGTTTTAAACTTTGTGCTTTTTAAAGTAAAGGTAAATGTCATAAACAGTGTTTAAAATTAATTTTCTCTACCTTTCGTTTGTATTGTTCTATTAAAGTTGTGTATAATTATAATCTACCAGTTAGATGTTTACACTGGCGGTCATGAAAACAGTTATGTCAGTTCATAAGTGTTCTGCTATGCAGTTACTAGGCAGTCAGTACTCCTCTTGTTTTTTGTATTGATATGTAATGTTTTATGTATGAAATTTTGAGGATAGTCCTAAGGAATATCACTATTTTACAGTTTTAATTTTGATGATGCTTTCTTTCTAGGTGTATTTTTACACATTCTAGCAGATACACTTGGGAGTATTGGTGTAATTGCCTCTGCCATCATGATGCAAAATTTTGGGTTGATGATAGCAGATCCTATCTGTTCGATTCTTATAGCCATTCTTATAGTTGTAAGGTAAGTGGCATATTATGTTATTGTCTGTTAATAAAATGAGAGGGAGGCAAGTCAAAACTGTGTGATTAGAAATCTACAGTGCAGATTACCATGTGGGTTTTCCTTTGGTCTTTAAAAAAAAATTCTGTCCAGATTATCTTTTCATCTTCACATTTTCATGCATTTTCCATTTATATCTTGCCTGGAGTTTTAATGTTTCTTTTTGGTTTTTGACATTAAAACCTTTGATCATAGTTCAAATGTTAAATCATACACCATATCTATTGAAAAAATTGGCAATATAAACTACATTAACTAGAATGTTATAGTTTATAGCTACATGTAACAATGTCAAACTCTAGTATCAGTGTTGCCCCTGCTAGAACTATCTTGGAGTATACAATTCTGTTATTCTTTTTTCTTTCTCTCACCTACCATGGTGCTAGGGACTCATAGAGACACTGTAGGTAGAGATGTTCAGTCTCGGAGACTGTTTGCTATATAGTGCATTGTTCAGCTGATATTATTGTCATCTCAGACCCTTTGTCCTAAAGCATACTTTGTTGTTGGCTTCATTTTTATTTTAAAAATAGAAATACCATTCTTTTATCTTGCAGCATTTATCTTTAAAATTTGCATACTATGCCTTAGTTGGAGTGTTATCATTTCTCCATATGTCTGCTTTCAGTAGAAGCTCTTGTAATGGAAATGAAGACTGATGAGAAGTGAGGTTGTAATGACTGTTTATAACTCAGAGCTGACTAGGATCGATGTAATAGGTTGCAGTACTAAAGTTAGGAATGGTTGTTTTTCACTTTCTGCCCTAAAAATAGCATATTTATTTTAAACATGCAGATTATTCTTTAACTGTTTGCACATGGAAGCAGGTGGTGTATGGAAACCTTTCTAAAGTTCAAAATGCCTTTCCTCATCTTTGGAGGTCTCAACCAAGCTCTTCTACTAGTGTAGATGTGCCAGACTCCTGACAGATCTGCTAAGATCTATAACTACCTGTGTTGGTGGTGGTGCCTTCGGTGGCACTCTGCTTTATTGATGTGTTGTAGTCTTCGTTACTCCAGTTGGTTTTTTAAGTTAATGATCTTAGTTTTCCCTGTCTCCACTCGTTGCCCAAATTCTGCTGTGGCTTGCTTGGAAAACTGATGGCCTCTTTGTCCTCCCTGTCTTCTTCTACTTTTCATGCTGCAGTGACATTTCTTTGATGAGGATTATGTGGCATACTGCGATTATCTTGCTTTAAGTCCTTCTCCAACTCTTTATTTCAGAATAAAGATCAAGACCCATAACAAGTCCCCTGATACTGTTTAATCCTCTTAGCCTCTCCCTCCTTCCCTCCTGACTCACCTCTTCTGTGACAGTCCCTTACTTTCAGTTTCCTAAATACATTATTGAACTTTCTGCTTTCCCATTCATATTTCCTCTCTCCAAACTTACATGCATTTAGCGATACGCCCTTTCACTCAGCCCTACAGATATGTGTATCCCAACTCCACATCCTTCTATGAAACTTAATTCAAATAGCACCCCTTCAGGAAACATTTCCCGATTTGCCCCTCTAGCTGTGTGAAGTCCTTCCTTGTAGTGACTTCTACCAAAGTTCCCCTCCAATGCATCTTTTACCACATTGTCCAGAGTCTGCCTCAGTGTCTCTGCAGCTCTGTGAGGGCAAACTGATGTCTTATGAATTTAAAGTGACCGTGTAGGGAGCTGGAAGGGTGGCTCAGTGGTTAAGAGCACTGGCTGCTCTTCCAGAGGACCCAGGTTCGATTCCCAGCACACACATGGCAGGTCACACTGTCTGTAACTACAATTCCAGGGGACCTGACACTTTCACACCAATGTGCGTAGAAAATAAATTTAAATAAATAATTTTTTAAATTAAATAAATAAATAAGAAGAAAATGCTATTAGTTAAAAAACAAAACAAAAGTGACCATTTGATTCTCCTGGCAAAGAAATTGGCACACTTCAGATTTGAGTCAGAATAACTTAGGCTTTTTCATCCTAAACAGTGGTATTTTCTAGCTGGGCAGCGGTGGTGCACACCTTTAAACCCAGGGCTCTGGACACAGAGGTAGAGGCAGAGGCAGGCAGATCTTTGAGTTTGATGCCAGTTTGGTCTACAGAGTGATTTTCAGGACAGCCAGGACTACACCCTGTCTCAAAAACAAAACAAAACAACAAAAAACCCCAAACAACAACAAAAAGAGTTATATTTCTTAACTCTAAGTTGGAAATTCTTTCTTTTGTTCTTACTTATTCTTCAAACAAAAATAAATAATAAATGCATATATGCGCACAACAAACTGATCTTGCCACAATATCCAATATATTTTTAAAAATCTTTATAAGCCATCTTCAGCAAGGAGCTCTGAGATCCCTACTCTTTTGATCTTTCTTAGCACAGGGGAGAGAAAGTCAAATCAATAAATCGATACTCTGGTATGAAATGAGTATTTATTGTGCAGAGCTAAGGGAGGACGTCACGGTAGTTGCTGTCACCTGGGGTGGAATGATAAGGCAAGTCTGCGAATAAATGTCACCAAGAGCTTTCCAGCCTAGGGACCAGCTGATAAAAAAAAAAAAAAAAAAAAAAAAAAAGAAAGAAAGAAAAAAGAAAAAAAAACAGCTGCATGGTTAAAAACAGCTACCCTTAAAGGAGGCCAGTGTGGCTCAAGCACAGGGAATAAAAGGAGAGTGGTTTGGGATGAAATTGAAGAAGTATACCAGGGAAAATTACAGGGCTTGGAGGTCGGATTTAATTTCAAGCTCAGTGGGAAATCATAAGAGTGACCCTTGGTCCATATGTTTTGTTTTGTGGTGCTGGGGATGAAGCCAAAGCCTGTACATGCTAGGCAAGTACCCACACTTAGCCACACTCAGCTACATTCTCTTACCCTAATTTGTACTTTTTAAATTTATTTTGTATGTGTGTGAGTGTTTTACCCACATGTATGTCTATGTACCATGTGTATGCCTGGTACCTTCTAGAGGTCTGAAATTTTTGTTGGATCTTCTGGAATTGTAATTTGAATTTTAAAAATAGTTGGTATCTGGGTATGGTGATTCCCTTAATCCCAGCACTTGGAAGGCAGAGGCAGGTAGATCTCTGTGACTTTAAGGTCAGCTTGGTTTATATAGGAAGTCCCAGGCCAACCATAATTACACAGTGAATTCCTGTCTCCAATAAATTAATTAAAGATAAAAAGAAACATTTGAATGAAGCAGAGGTTACAAGGGGGTACAGATAGCAAACAAGTCTAGGAGCTACCATAATGGACCAAGGGAGAGGTCGTAATAGGTGGGTCTAATCTAGCAATGGAGCAGACTGAATAAAGCCAGGAAATGGGGTAAAACTAGTGAGATTTGCTCATGGATATGGATGTGTGGTCAGGGTTAAGCAAATGGGAGCCTCAGAAATGCTTAGAGCCATGGCAGTCCTTAGTGCTCTTACCCAAAATGGATGGAGACGTTGCCTAGAGGAGACTAGAAGAAGAATGGAGTTTTTTCTCCCCTTGGAAGGGCACTCTAGAACAGGTCTGGTCCTTGCTGGTTTGAGATGCTGTGTTAGTTACTCACGCAGAGGCTCATGGTAGGCAGTGATTGTATTGGTACAGGCTAACACAGAGGAGAGTTTAAAATCACAGAATGGTGGCCAGATAGCAGCAATGCCACCTCCCCCAACCCTTCCTTTTCCCTGGAAATGTCACACAGTCTGTGGCCATTTCCCGCTTTAGCA